TATTATCTGATGAGAATGTGCAGAAGGTTTTGTGTGTTGAGCGTTTTTCCCCCTTGGTGAGCTCGAAGGAAGCTTTTTCAACCTTCTCCCTCTTTTTGCATGTTTTCGTCAGCTCTGCACTCTTTTTGTGTAGGCATGCACGAAAGGGGGAGACGGTGTTTAGAAAATCTCGCGCTCGACTCTCTACCCACATTTGAAAAAGGGGCCGACGGAAAGGGCAGGTTCTACCAACCTCGCTTTCTTCTCCGCTCTCCTTCCTTTCTTTTATTCATGATTTACATCACATGGATACCCTCTTGGATGCAAATTGCTTTTGTGTCTGTGTATCTGACGAACACAAATAACACCATCACCTTTGTTACCACCGCAGCACACAACGATGACCGTATTCGGAGCGTTACGGATACGGTAATGATGTGTATTCAGGCTGAGAGCAGGTTTCTCACGCGTAATGATGACCGTCTGCGCGTCCCGTCCGATAATTGATTATCATTTCTAATGAGATTACGGTAACTGATACGCGATAAGAGGTGGGATGGTATCATAGAGGAAATTTTTGGATTCCAGTGTGTACACGAATTTGATGTAAGGGAAGTTAAGTGCTCGTTGCTCGTCATTATTTGATATGTTCACATCGATTTCGCGTAATGTTACACGCATACGCAAATACGCATAACAAATACGTGGCGAGTAATGGTAATTGCTTGGGGTTGAATTTTTTACTAGGATTTTACTTCAAATTGGTTTTGGGGGTAGAAATATCAGTCACGAAGTGATATAAGGGTTTAGGGATAGCTTGTGCAGTTTTCTTCTAAAATAAACTAAGGAAGGTAATTGGAGAAATACTGAGATGATCCCAGACTAGGAGAGATCTCTGCAATGCTTGTGGTAAGAAGGCAGCGCGCTTATTGCAGCTTAACAAGGAGATGGGAAAACCCAAATTGAAAGAGCATAATTGTTGAGACGTCTAGACTACTGTATGAAGGTGTAAACAGATATAGGTTGTTGTTTGCTTTGTTGTAATTCTAGATTAATATTCATAGAAGGACAAAAGAGTGCAGCTTTGAGTGGCTTTGAGCTTGAATATATTTTATGAGAGTGGGACTGGTTAGCATGTTTTGTAGGAATTATAGT